TGTATTTGATCGCGATGGTATATATTCGTTACCGTTGTGAACTGTATATGATCGCTATCGTTTATACTCCTTACCGTTGGGTACCGCGTTTGTCGCCACGGTAAATATTCCTTATGGTTGTGAACTGAATTGATCGCTATGGTATGTATTCCTTACCGTTGTATTGATCCTACAGCCTCCCTCACTCTCTCTCGGTGGCAGTTGGTCTCGAGCTCCTCGCTGTAGAATTCAAACACTACGTCTCCATGGAGACGGGGACGCGCTCTCTTGCGGCGACCTTTCAACCCGCTTCTTACCGCGGTTCCCGCTCCACCGTTTATTCCCCTCACCCCTTACTGCTCTTTCCCTTCACACACTCTCCCCTCACCACTGTCCTCTTCCTCCCCTCACCTTATGAATGTGAGCTAAGGCAGAAGCTTAAATATGATAAACCAGCCGTTAAACATGTCATCAACAAAGTGCATTTGTACTGAGGCATGTCAAATTTCTCCCTCCCGAAAAATTTGACATCCCCCAATACAAATGTACTTTTCCAGGGTCAGTGAGGATGTTCGACAGTAACTTTGAACTTAGTTTGCAATCAAAACTCACAGTTTGTTTAACAAGGTCTAACTTTTCAAAGTATTTTACAATGGGACTAACAACATTAAAAGCAAGCTTTCAATACTCAGAAATTCCTAATTGATTGCAGACTGGAGCACCTTAGCAGTGCACCCTATAGGGAAACATAAAATGAGTGAAAGTGATTTATGAGTGTCCATGTTATTCCGCTCATAAGCAGTTGCAATCAGTTTCAGAGAATTATGGTAAATTTCAATTTTATTGCCATCACTAATGCAAAATCCGGGCCATGTATTTCCCAGAAGATTTTAAAATTGTGAGTCATCAAGTTAGTCATAAGTTAAGAAGGAAAACAAAAATATGCAATGATTAATTAGCTTTCAGTGGCAATTTTCATAGCCTCAGAACATCCCAAAGTTCCTTTGAAGTGTAATCACAGTTGTAATGTAGGCAAATATAGCAATTTATTTACACATAGCAAGTACCCATAAATACCAATGAATAATTTACCAAATAATTCAGATTGGAGATATTAGCCAGGAAATTATGAGAATTGTCCAGTTCTTTTCAAATGGTGCATTGAGATATTTTGCACATATTTGAGAGAATCTCATTTTAACATGTCAACTGAGAGAATGTATTTTCAACAATGAAACACACATCATACTGCAGTGTCATCTAAGGTTTATGTTCAAATCACTTCAGTGGGGATTTAATTGCTGAACTAAATCAGAGCTGGCATGAGTCACAGCTGAAAGTCTCTCTAAAAGTACCATAATAATTAGTGGCAAAGAGCAAAATTCTCAGAAACATAATCTCCCCAAATCTTGTGTCAATGGACTGTCCTTCAGTCGTACGCGCCACACACAAAAAAAAACTAAAGAATTTATTAAGGAAATAACTTGATCCTTAAATATTACCCATTAGTCTACTTCTTGTCTACTATTTTATTGCTAATCAGTTCAGAGTAACACATAAAAATAAAGCTTTTCAGGTATTGAAGAATTGTCATGTATTACTTTATATAACTGGTAAACTACTGATTCTCCATCAGAACATTGCTAGTTTTTTTTTTCAAATATCTATATGGTTTGTTTTCTATAACTGTGACAATTAAATGAGACAACAATAACAGAATTATGGGAACACTAAGAGACCAGACATGGCCAGGAGTATTTGAAAAAAAAAGAGCAACTTCAGTCTACAGGGGGTCACCGATTTACTAACATCCAATTTAGAAACACTCATACTTACAAAAGCAATCCCATATAGAGGTGTGCCAATATTTATTTTAAAGATCCCATACATGAACATTTCCTCGTACTTACAAACGGCTATTTATATTATGCTGCAGCCTGCTCCAGTTGCGTACAATATTTGTGAATGGACGCAAGAACGGAACGCTTTCGCCGCGAGCTGGTAACTGCATATATTTAATCTGTTGATGGAAATGACTATAAAGTAGAACAAGGCTGTGAATATTGATATACGAGCTAGTAAGGAGAGTCAAGACAGGTTTGTAAAGTGCTTTCTTGATTAATCAAAATTATTTAGAGGTTATTGAACATCCAAACTAAAGAAATACAATGCACGTGGTGCAATTGAATTCCCAAAAAGCATTTCATAAAATGTAATTAGATATTTGTTTTTATATTTTATTGCATTATATGGAAGTGGTGGCAATGATGATAGCATGGCTACTGGGTAGCATAGGATTAAACAGCTGTTTCGCAGACATTTCAGCCGTAACTAGCGCTCTGCTATAACAATCTGTGGAGGGATTATCAGTTTTTACTTTTATTAGTGAATACAAAACCTCAAATTCATGCAATAGCCTCCTGATTTGTAGCATTTGAAGTGACCAGCCTGCCATTTGATATATGGCGGGGGAACATTCCTCAGTCACGTGCAGAAGTGCATCGTGGTTTTGTACCAAGGCCCCAGCAATTGATGCTAGCTACTGAATAAGTTTGACGAGTATCATTCCCATTGCGGTAGCTCAAAGCCCACTATTTGACAGATGGTGTTTGCGAGATTTATTGATGACTTCCCATGTTTCCAGTTCCTTCAGCCAAAGAATGTTTGTTGGTAGATCTTGCTGATGACATTGTTCCACATGGGCATCAATGCTGAAGGTAGGCAGAAGAGGTTGTTTTATTTAGTCAGTGCGTTTTCATCAGCTGGTAGATGCTTGGGGAAGCAATATTTGCTAGAAGAGGTATGTTGAACAAAAACTTCCAGTTATGACATGATTTGTTGCAATCAACCATCAACAGTATATGCATGCAAACCTATGCCAAACAAGTACAAATACTCTGCTGACAAGTCCAATATAAGTGGCAGCAGTACCTAACATAGATCCAACAAGATCAGTTAAGTTTGCTTCTTGGGTTGGACTATAGCTGCAGTTTCCTTCAGATATTCCCACTACAAAGTCTTTCCTTCAGTCATAAATATTTGCCCTCACATCTGACCATTCAAGAGATATGCAATTTTTTTTTAATAACTGACATATGGGGTGTAATACATTGGATATGGTTTTAGAAGGACAGTGGATCACCAGTCATCTCCACACATCCTTATCAATACCCAGACACCTCTGGGGGAACAAATGATCCTACCAGCACACGGAATTTCCAGATATTGTTTGTAATGTTGTGCTATCAGAAAAGAGTGACAATGTAGGGGCAAGTACATTAACGAAATGGACATATCACAAAATAATTTATATAGCACAACACACAGCGCACTAGTTCAAGTGAGTCACAACAGACTGTTCACAAGTTTGAAAAAGAGAGGTCATGTTCATTACAGCAGTGATGGTAAATGGACATTTTAACAGTTCAAAACTTTGAATGGGTTTGAGTGGATAATTAGCAAAACTGGCTAGTGAATCATTAGCAAATGGTATCAAAAGCATAAAGTTCAAATATTTTTCTCACAACAGGTTAAACACTGAAACATTGCAGGGAAAATTGTAAGGATGACATCAGAACCTCTGGTGAGCTCTACAAGACAAATCAAGCCACTCAAAATCAGCAGTGCATTACAATTTAATAAGACTACCTACTTCATTCCACAGGAAGTGGCATTGACTGGGATATAAGTAGCTCAAATTTACTGTATTGTACAAATAAAGTGTAAACTCAAATAAATGAAGTAACAATAAATCTGCCGAGTAGAATTCTAATCAGGACTCTGCATGGGTCTGTGCCACTTATAGTATTTACTTATTAGTTGGTCTCCCACATGATTGCAGTGTTTATTTTAAATAGATTCTCTCTTCCTCTGAAATGTCTATTTCTCTTCAACTCTGTTTGTCTCAGACTCCTCCCCATCTTATGGTCTCCACAAGTTCACAATTTTACTAAAACTGGGTCACAATTGCTCGAGCAGTGGTTATTAAGCATCTTTTGTCTCTCAAAATGCACACATTCCCAAAAAAATGCTAATTTACTTTGTATGGATTTGAAAGGTGGTTTGGGAAGGGAGCAACACCTGGCAGAGATTATACAGCTGGAGATCTTGAGATGCAGATTCAGATTGGAAATAAGGGTCCTTCTGGATTGAGAAAAATTGACATATTCAGGTGGTTTAACTTTAGTTTTACTTGATTTTCATTACAAATAATACTCATTGAAATGTACCCTTATTCATCTCAGGTCCCACGTATCAATCTGCTTGATCAAAAATTATAATCTAGTTTAATATTAATTAAAGAACCTGCTTTTATACAGTGCCATTCATTACCACAGGACTTTTCAAAGGATTTACAGGCAATGAAGTACTGTAGAAGTGTATTTTGATTGTAAAATGGAGAACCCAACAGCCAATTTATACACAGGAGAGTTCCACAATTAACTTTTTAAAAATTGTGATGGTTAAGGGATGTAATAAACCAAGAAATTGTAGAGAACACCCTATTCTTCAAATAGCATCATGTAATCTTACAAATCCATCGAAAGGGATGCTGATTTTGGTGTGTCAGTTATATACCACATTGTCAGCACCACAATGAAGCAATAACTAAAGTATTTCATATTGAACATGAAATGTGCATTTGGTGAATGACCAATTTTTGGCATTCATAAAAAGTTGCTGGCTGATTACTGACCATTGTTAACTTTCATCAGTGAGAGTTTGTCAAAGCTATTCAAGTAAAAGAATGCATATTTAAGGCAGATGAATAAAGACAAATAAACTCTGACCTTGTAACACAATTTGTGTATGGTTATATTTAACGGCAGAATGAATATATTGGGAACCCCTAAATTCAAAATGACACTTGTACACCAAGGACAAATTAAAAGAGTGACAATTGGGAGGCTTGAAATGTTTTCCAAAGGAAGCCAAGCAAAACTGAACTTGCTTCCAACCCAGGAATATGGAAAAGGGAATTAACATAGTTTAAAAATGCCAAGGAACTGCAAGTATGACAAAGTGCATACAAAAACTGCAAAATTTAATCATTATCATGCACCCAGTTGGGTGTAATGGTACGTTTTATGCTGTACTTTTTAACCTAACTATAGGTGTGCAGAACCAGAAAAACAATTCAAAATGTACAAGCATCAAACAAGACTCCTAGGAATTCTCCCTCTTCCACTCACTACCCTGACAGGTGCAGTGCAGAAGTGACTTCAGTTAAACTGATTAACAAACCCTTTCATGGGTGGGTAACTACAGAGTATAAATATCATATGGCACTTTTCTTTCCCCTTTCACATGTTTTATTCCATGATGAGAAAGAATGTGCCAGCAGATATGCAATTAAAAGCAGCAGCTGCATTAAGATAGAAAAATTGTGCAATTGTGGGAAATACAGACATTAAAAAGATATAAATTGCTTCATTGACATCATGTGAAAAAATTAAATGACAAGAGCTTCACAAATTTGTTTTCATTTCTAAGACAAGATTTATCAGATGTACTTGTGCAACATAGTTTTACATTGTATTGACTGTTTAACCATTGCCAAAACTAAAGAATGGAATAAAAAGGTTTTCAAATTATAATCAGAAGTTGACCAATATTTCTTTCATATTAAAAAAAAAATCAGTTGAATAAATGTTAGACTATGGTAGCTAAATAGTCTTTGACTTCTGCTGGAGTGAGTCTTCGAAATCCTGCTTCATCACAAATTCCAACCTCTATATTGTCTTCTGTCATCTGGCCTTCAAAGCTTTCCTGTTTGGGAGAAAAGAAAAGTCATACCAATTAGCATCAATCATTGCTTTACAAAAAAGTAACTCCAGATAAACCATTATTCACTCTTTGTACAACAGATGCTATATCTAACCTTTAGTGTTAAGATTGCTGTATGAATGGCATCTTCAAGTTCTAGATCTTCATTGTACCTACAAACACAAAGAAACTTATTTCCTCCTGAAATAATTTTTCACTTTTCTTTTTAAAGAGCTTAAAACACAAATTTATGAAAATCTGTGTCAAGTTTCTACGCGTTACTCAATTAAACATTAAACCAGAACAGAATCCAAAATGAAATGCATTTTGGAATTGGAAACACTCAACAAAAATCTCAATTTAAAATGTGTACAAAATTCTGTGAACAGGCCAGAGACAAAATGTAAAATATTTGCTTTAAATGACCGGTCCTTCAAAATCTTAGAAATTTCTGTCCATCGTGAACACCATATTTACAGTATTGTTATATCTGGTATACAGGAAAAGATAGTACCACCATTATTGCTTTTCTACCTCTTTTCAAGAAAAGTTTTCCCATTTACGTAATTCTTCCCCATGGCTGTTGCTTTCCATGCAAAATAAGCACCCTATTGGAAAAAGAAAAAAATAAAAGTTTAGTGAAAGGATCATACTCTGATCAGCTTGAAAAACAAAAAAAAAAGTAGCACAACTCATCCAGTTAGCAGTAAGGAGACAGGAAAACAAACTCTAATCCACCTCTTCTGAAAATAAACTAAGAAATATTTTTAAGAGCAAACCAAAGAAAAAGCCTGAGTACACAGTAGAAATTGTATCAGTAAATTTCAGTACAATGAAAACACCAGCCATTTTAAAAGCAATATCACAGTGGTTGCTTTAGTTAGAGCAACTGGATGCCAGACTGAGTACTGGAAGTCCAAGGCATCTTTCTACATCAATTTTACAGATTCTGTTTGTTGTAACCTGTTGTACACAACAGAAGTTGCACTGCTGTTTCATTGTGTATGTTAGTGTCAAGTACATTTCTGAGCTGTTGAATTATGAACAATTGTTTTTCAGAAAATATGAAGCTGACAATAACTGAATTTGTTTTGCCACATTTAAATCGTACACAACTGCAAAGCTGGTAAGTAGATCATGGCTTTAGTGTAGATCACAGACTTATTTTGCTGGGAAGACAAGTTACATGTGTCATTACATGTTGTCATATAACATCACCCCAATGGCCAGTAGTTTGAAGCATATTCATGATGGTTATGAATTGGTTATAGCCCAAATTCAGTCCTGGCAAAGAAATTTAAAATGGCCAATTTTGCATTGCACAGTTGCCCAGTTAGATTTTTTTTTCTTCCACTAAACCTGGAATTTTTTCAACTTTCAAATTGTTGTACTTGCAGGACCAAGGTCAATATATCTGGGACCTTGGTGAATGAGGGGACCAGTAGTCTATGTCCTTTCTGGAATAATTTACATTTGGAAGAAAACAAGGCAAATAATGGAGAACCAAAGAGAATAGTACATAATCAAAAATAAAAATAGAAAGTGCTGGAGGTATGGAGCAGGTGGTTTAAAGGGCGTTTGAAGAAAAAAAAATTCACTTAAAGAGCTGTGGGTATCTGGAATTCACTGCCAGAAAGTGTGGTGGAGGTGAGAACCCATAGACATTCAATTATTTAGACGAGCACTTGAAATATCGTTAACACACAAGGTTATGGGACAGATCCTGGAAAATGAGATTAGAATACATAGATGTTTGGTGGACAAAATGGGCCGAAAGGCCTCTTTCTGTGGCTGTAACATCTGACCATTTCAGGATTTTGAACCAGTGGCAATAAGGATGCTATGATAAGGGTGACTAGTGACTAGGAAAAGAACTCACAGGTAATGATATTCCCTTGAACCTGAGGGCCTAGTTTTTCTGATGCTGTAGAAGTTATGCCTTGGCAAGGTGCTGATGAAAAAACTATGGTGATTTGCTGCAGTGCATACGGTGGACGGCACACATGATGCATCAGAGGTAGTAGGAGTGCTAATCATTACGTTGCTTTTTCCTGGATGTTGAGCTTAGAGTGTTCTTCGATCTGTAATCATTCAGGCAAGTGGATAGTATTCCACTGAACTCCTAATTTTCACCCAGCGACAGTGAACAGGCTTTCGGGATTCAAGAGGTGAATTTTTCCACCAGAGCTTGCAGTCTGGGCTAGTCATGTACAATTTCTATTTGGTCAACCATCACACCAGTGTCATTATGGTGGCACACATCAGAAGTCTTTTGAGCATAAAACAATTTCTAGATGAAGACTATCAATGCCATGGAAAAGAAACCCTCTTACTGCTATTAGGTAGAACACAGCCAGGCAGACAGTTTTCTTTTACTTTTTCCCAATAATGTATATTATTTCAAACCTCAAAACAGCAATCATACCTATAAAATTGCAGACTTTTCCAATTTCTAACATCTCTTTGGCCTCACTTTGAGAGGAAATCTTGTGTTGAGAATGAATGTCTACACGGTTCCAATGTTAGAACTGCAGGTAACTAAAGCAACACCAAGGTTGTTCAAAAGCAGGTAATGCCTAATGGACTTGATATTTAAGAGCTAGGCTTTTTACAGGAAATGTGGAAACTGATGTTTATCCTCATCGGAACTTCATCAGAGGCTGCACTGATGTTATCCAGCAGGGTAATGAAATGTCTGCGGAACAACAAACCAGCTCGGTGAGCAAACCAACCTCAATACTCCAAAACCTTAGTGATGTTTATCCTACAGATTTACAATAAATCCTTGTGAATCTCAGAAATTCTTTAGTTGCCAACTTTAACATATGGATATCAGCTTGTTAAACATGGCAGAGGATGAATGTCAATCTCTTCAAGTGGGATGATAAGAAAAGCAGAACTAATCCCTTTTTCTGACAGATTTAAAGCTCCTGGTGGCTTTTTAAAGTGAAATTTCTGAGTCATGACGTAGAACCGCATACTATGATTATCCACTGGTGTTTTCAAAGTTGGACCCATATGAGCAGTGGAAGAATGAGGTGGAGATGTGGACTCGGGTCACTTCACTAACTTGGAAGCAGCAAAATATGGGCTTGCCCTCATCCTTACCAGGAAAGAGTAAAATTAGAAATAAAGTATTCTTGGAATTAAATATCGAAAAGCTTTACAGATTCTGACACCAGATAAAAGTCAGAATCTCCATGACTGGAGACAGTTTTGTGGCTGCTAGTAAAACTGAAGATAGGGTGATAAAGAGGTACTCTGAGAGTTATAGAACTGAAAAGAATTCAGAATATATTAGGAAGCTGACAAGAGATTTCAACCTGCCCTGAAAGAGGTGGAGCTGTACAGTATAGGTCCTACCAGATGGGACTTACAAGAGCAAAGTCAGGACGGTATCTGGAGGCTTTGAGGAACACTTGGGGAGTAGAAATTACAGTATACTCTATTTCAGTGGGAAGCTACTTTTGAATCAAAAACAAAGACAGAAATTGCTGGAAAATCTCAGCAGATCTGACAGCACCTGTGGAGAGAAATCAGAGTTAACGTTTCAAGGTCCAGTGATCTTTCTTCAGAACTGACACTTTTGAATCTCTTTTCAGCCATTGTAATAACATTTTTTGGAAGCGTAATTCTACAGATATCAAAGCATCAGAGCAATGTGTTCAGAGATGGGGGGGGGAATGTAACATAACGTGGCTGAACAAAGCTGATTAAAAATATCAAGAGCTGGGCATTTAATCCAAATTGACATAACATGCCCAAATAAGTTGATTTAAAAGAAAACAGGTGTGTTCTTCTTGTATTGGGTTAACTGGGTAAATTGTAAATTTGATGTTGCACTTACTTGTTTAAAAAGGGCCTGAGTTCTTCCCTAGTAAGAGAGTTGGCTTCTAGACAAGGAGAGGGTCAGGAAGGGAAAAGTGGAGCTGGTATCTGTGCTAAACAATAGATTTATAATAAAAATTCATGTAAATCCCTGGAAGTCTTTTGTTGCCAAATTCAACATATGGATATTGTTCTGTTTAACAAAAAACTGAATTAGGACTGTCCAGACTTGTTTCATTTGTTGGTGTCAGCGTGAAGCTGACTGAGATGAAAATGTGCTGTTTTGAATGTTTATCAAGTTTTCCAGGATCTCATTTCCATCAGAACAATTCAAGGACCTGTGCTACAATTGCGCTTGATTAGAGGTTACTCAAGTTTCAACATGAAAGTAGAACTTTCAGTGCAGCAAAACATAACTACCCACAAGATACTAGTCAATCTTTACTTTCAATTTCCTATCAGTTATAGAGCAATTCCGGCTTCGTATTTTTGTCTTTTATTTATTAAGATTAGGTGACTTTTATTAACCATACCAAAATCAAGATTGGCAGTGATTTGGAGCATTGCGTCTCCAGTAAGCAAACACAGAAAGAAAAACAGCTTAAGAATTAGACCTAAAAATTGCCACCTAAGTACTTACAGATGGATCTGATTGGAACAAATACGGTCGGCCCTCATCCCAGCCAGCAATCAGCAGTGAGACGCCAAACGGACGAACACCACTGAAACAAGACAAAAGAATGAGCACTGATCCTTACCTTGCTGGGATGTCCTGTGGTCAATATAACCAATACATTCTGAAAGATCAAACTTGCAGACTACAAAAAGTTATAAAAATGAATCTCTCTCTAAAAAGGTGAAGTTATTCGAGAGGGGCATTTATGCAGACCTTTCTCAAATTTCAGAACAGTCCACATTTAATGAATTATTTTGTTTAGATATTGAATTTGTATATACATATAATGACATTTGCAATGACAAATTTTTGTACTTGCAGATTACAAGATTGTGAATGTGCACTTCATATATTTTTAGTTCTGAATTTCTTGCAGGCCAAAACAGAAGATAAGGCATTAAGTCTCTCCATAAATTCACCTTTGCATCAAACATTTAAGAGGATTCCGTATCCTTGCCCTGTAATTTGATTACAAACCCAAACATCTGACTTAACCTGAACTGCAGATTCAGGCACAACAAAATGCAACAGTCACTCTACTGCAGGGCAACTCACCTTGAATACTTCTCTCAATTTATGTGACAATAAATTTACGTTATCGCCCATGTTGAGAATGTAAAGAAGCCAATAACTGACTTACCCAGATTGTGTATATTCCTGCATGACAGAGGCTACTCTCTGTACAAGCTGGGCTGTAGGGATGGGTTCTTGATACACAAGGTAGTACTGCTGTGCCAACTTTCGGGCTCGGCGAATCAACACCCTGTAAGCAATATAGCGCAAAGTGCTGTGAATATGGACTCATTAATTACACACATTTCTATCCAAACCCTGTTGTAATTTGTGTTTCCTCAGTACCGCTTCAGTAAATAACCTTCAGGTGTCTTCTCTTCCATTCTGTCCCATCACAACACCATGCACTCTTGTGCCTATGATTCCATTCTGCATTGATCAATATCATCTAGACCGCAGGACTTAGAGGACAACAGCTCCAGTAATTACAATAACCAAATCTCAATCATATTTTCTTAAGGTAATGCATTTTTTTCTTCCTATATCTTCACTGTAACACAAGCAAGACTCAGGGTCTCCTACACTGTCTAGTACCTCAAAAAAGTCTACATTCCTCTCATCTTGGCACCGTCTTCAAGTTTCAGATTGCAAGTTTACCAAAACCAAGCCATCACCTCCTCATACATTAGCATTTCTTGTTTTTAAGTTGCAGGTGATTACGTCGAACAGTAACAAAATTATCAGTGTTTCACATAAACAAATGATATTGAACCAAACAATCTAACAAGAAAGACATTAATGATTCAAATTTATAAAACAAAGATATCTGTTCAATTTAATAGCAATGGCACCCTCCAGTCATCATACAAACCTACCTGGTTCACTAACACCCTTTAAGAAAGGAACTCTGCTCCCCTGAGGCAGTCTAGCTTAAATGTGAGTCCAGATTCACAAAGATTTGGTTGACTCTTAACTGCATTCTGAAATGGTCCAGCAAGCCACCTGATACAATGACAATTAGTGATGGCAATGAACGCTGGCCCAGCCAGTGACACCCACATTCCATAAATAAATTTTAAAATAATTTTCATATCACCGAAAACACAGATATGGTGCCAAAACTTTTCATCTTGTATGCTTCAAGCACAGCACATTTACTCTTGCTTCATTCGTTCACAGGGACCCATTTTCTCTAAAAAAAGGAATGTTTTAAATATTGCTCCTTTCCTGAATCACCCAAGATCTTGGGGAGCCAGTGGTTCCCCACTGCTTCATCAATGGCAATGTCTTGGCCAGAGTTAACTTGCAAACTAATCAGCAAATATTTTCCTGTAGTAAACTGTTGTGATAATTTGAAATTTAGCATTCTTGTGTTTGTCATATTTAGCAACTGAAACTATTCAGCAACAGGTTTGTCTTTTCTGCAAAATTCTTAACCTACAACAGGATCGAACATTCAGTTTCAGTCATCTCAGTTTTCAGTCAATGGTATTGCCACTGACAGAGCTATTGTATTTTAGTGAGTGGTCAAGAGCCACCTGTTCATTCTCTATTCCTATCCACTTGAGAATCTGCTAAACTCTAAAATAGAAAATAGCTTTTCATAAGCTTGCTAGCTCAGGCTACAAAATGTCTATTTTTCTTGGTGATGTTACTTTTAGTTTCAGACATTTGGATTTTTAAAAAATGTATTCAACTGATTCTGTTCCAAAAGCTTTTTCCCTTAATGTGTAGCTTTAAGATTATGTCTGTTACCAAAAGGACACTACACATGTCAGTGGTTAAACATGTTAAGATTCTGCAGATGTTAATTCATTATTGAGGACGACATGGTGGCTCAGTGGTTAGCACTTCTGCCTCACAGCACCAGGGACCCGGGTTTGATTCCACCCTCAGGTGACTGTCTATATAGAGTTTGCACATTCTCCCTGTTTCTGCGTGGGTTTCCTCCAGTTTTCTCTCTCAGTCCAAAAATGTACAGGCTAGGCGGACTGGCTTTGGTAAATTGCCTGTAGTGTTCAGAGATGTGTAGATTAGGTGGATTATAGGGGGATGCTCTGAGGGATGGTGTGGACTGGTTGGGCCAAAGGGCCTGTTTCCACACTGTAAGGATTCTACGAAACGGTCTCACTCTAATAAGAGCATCATGGGGCTACAGGTTAGTATCCCAGTGACTTTCATATACAGATTGTCAATTCAATTGCATTGCTGGAAGGCAAGTGCGCAGTACCTGAAATGTTTGAGTGGGAGGAATAGAAAAACAATTTGAAGCTGAGGAACCCGAAATTTCTTGACAATTATCGTAAAGGAAACACCAAGAATAATAGGGTTCATTCATTTGTTTCACCTACCTGTAGTCAGGGCCCATTCCACTATACACCATTCCTATGTGTTTTGTGATTGGTTCCACTTTGTGTACACTCTGCTCATCATAAAGAATGGATTTCTGTTTCTTCTCCGTTGCCAAAACAACACCATTGGAAGCTAGGTTTTAAAGAAATATGTAATCATTTAGAGACGCAAGGAGATAAATACACATTGCACCTATCCATTTACGATGAGCTAATTTTATTAAGCACCGAAGCGTAGCTGCATTTTCCAAATAACAAATTAAGTCTTGTGTTCAGGGTACCTCAAAGTGCCTCAGATAATTTATTTGAATTGCAGATTCTGATGTTAATTAGTTGATCTCATGCACGATAGCAATATCACCTAAATAATACACTGAATGGCAACAAGATGTCAGTTCTCTTTTAGAATGTTGTGCTGATGAATCATGAACTGAAACACTCAGTTAAAAGAGACCATATCAGAAAAGATGTTTAATGAACAACTGCAGACTTCTAAAAAAAAGTTCATGACAACAACAAAGATTTAATGTTTTAGCGAAGAACCGTAGCTCGGATTGTGGTTGGAGCTGTTGGTTGGTTCGCCAACAACTCCAGTGGCTACCCGATCTACAGATCTTCGCTAAAACACTAAACACCTACAAGGGAAACATGCTCAAACAAGCCTGAAAATGGGAAACCTACGCCAACCAGCTGTGTGCTACCTGCAAGCAAAACCAGTCAGTTCGGGGGAACCAACCAACAACAAAGATATTTCCCACTGAGGAAGGAGGATTCTAGGAAGGTGATAAACCAACCTTGGTTAACTGAGGACATTATGGACAATATCAAATTGAAAGAAAAAAAAAATGTAGCAAAGATTAGTGCTAAATCAGAGATAAGGAAAGTTTTAAAAACCAACAGAAGATGAACGAGAAAACCAAACAGGGAGAAAATGAACTATGAGGACATAATAGAAAGAAACAGAAAAATAGTAAGAGCTTCTTTAGATACATAAAATGGAAAAAACAGGCAACAATGAACATAGGCCCCTTACAGAATGAAGCTAGGGAAATAATAATGGGGATTCAGGAAATGACAGAAGAGTGAAACAAATATTACAAATCAGTTTTCGTGGTACTGGATACTAATAACATTCTAAAAATCCTAAATAATCAAATTGGGGGTGGGGAGCAGGGCGGGAGGTGGCAGCATGGGAGAGGGAATAGGTACGGGAACCATCACCAGAGAAAAAGGAAATATGGGTAAAAGACCAATTCGAACCTTGGAGTTGAGTTGTACCCAAGAATTTCAAAGGATACATTTGCAGAGATAGTGGATGCACTAGTAGTAATTTTCCAAAAGTCCTTAGATCCTGGACATGTATCAGAGAATTGGAAAACTGTCTGTGTAACATCCTTATTCAAAAAAGGAGAGAGACAAAAAACAGGTACCTGCTGGCCAGTAAGCTTAACATCCATCATTAGAAAAGTCTTTACATCTATTGTAAAGAATTTGTCAGCAAAGCATTTAGAAACAGAAAATATAAGCAGCAGAGTCAGCATGACTTCATGAAGGAGAAATCATGCCTGACAAATTTAGCACAGTTCCTTGAGGTGATAACAAGCATGGGAGATAAAGAAGAACCAGTAGATATAGTATTTTTGGATTTCCAAAAGGCGCTCAATAAGCTAATACATGTAAGGCTTCTTAATAAGACCCCATAGTGTTAGGGGTAGCATATTAGCATGGATAGAGGATTGGCTAATTAATTGAAGGCACAGAGTTGGGGTAAAGAGGGCATTTTCAGGATGCCAACCTGTAACTAGGGGAGTGCCACAGAAATGAGTGGTAGAGCCTTAACACCTTGCAATATATACTAATGACTTGGCCGAGGGCAGCGAAAGCACCATCACCAAGTTTGCAGATGATGCAAAAATAAGTGGGAAGGGAAGTAGTGAAGATGGCACAAGGCATCTGAAAAGACATATGGACAGGTTAAGTGATTGGGCAAAAACCTTGCAGATGGAATATGGGAAAATGTTAGGGCATGCACTGTGGCAGGAAGGATAGAAGAGCCACTTATTTCTTAAGTGGGGAAAGACTGCAGAAAGCTGCAGTAGAAGGGGATTTGGGGGTCCTATTGCATGAATTTCAAAAAAGCTAGCATCCAAGCTCAGCAGGTAATGGGGAAGGCAAATGGAATGTTGCATTTATTTCAAAGGGAATTCTGTATAATAATAGAAAGATCTTGCTAATACTATTCTAGTCAGACCAAGCTAGAATACTATGAAGTCTTGGTCTCCTTATCTAAACAAAGATATAGTGAGATCGGAGATCAAAAGAAGGCTTGCTCAGTTGATCCCGGACATGGAGGGATTTTCTTATGTGAAGAGGCTGGATTTATACTCAATGGATTTAAGAGGAGAGGAGACTAGGGAGTTTTGAGAGGGGGAAATCTTGACAGGGTAGATGCCAAGAAGTTGTTTCTCCCTGTGAGACAGTCTATGATCAGAGGGCATAATTTCCGAGTAAGGAGTCTTTCATCTAAGACAGAGATGAGCAGAAATTTTTTTTCCTCAGTGGGCAGTAAATCTGTGGAATTTTTTTTACTGCAGAAAGCTATCGAGGCTGGGTAATTAAGTATATTTAAGGTTGACATAGACAATTTTTTTTAAAAACAGTATGCAAATCAAAGAAGAGGGAAAGGGCACGTAAATGAAGTTGAGGGTTATCAGATCAGCCATGATCATGGTAAAGCAACCTCAATGGGCAAAACAGCCTACTTCTGCCCAACATTTCATGATCTTAAGACGATATAGCACTTCATTGCTCAGTCAATATTATAAAAAGTCAGCCTGGCAAAGAGTTCAAACCCAAAACTGTTTGACTCAGAGGAGACAACGTCAGCACACGGCAATGAGCAGTCATTGAACAAATGAGGATTTGTTTCATTGATGGCAGTGACAAGCATGTGCCTTCAAACAAGGGCCCTAGATCAACCAGGTTCCCATAGAAAGCCAGCATTTTTGCACAAAATAATTAGAAGTTTACAGGATAGAAGGCAATTTGTTCTAACATATCTGCGCTGACTGGAAGAGAGGTCTGACAAAAACAAAAATTGCTGGAAAAGCTCAGCAGGTCTGGCTGTATCTAGAGAGAAATCAGAGTTAACATTTTGGATCCAGTGACCCTTCTTCAGAACTCCAGCTAATCCCATGTTTCTGCTTTTAGTGCATTGCTTTATAGTTTACAGCACGTCAAGTACATTTGCAAATACTTGTTAAATACAATTAAGATTTCTAACTCTTCCAACCTTCCAAGTAGTGAGTTTCAAATTACCATCATGCTTCAGGTGAAAAGAATACTTCATTCCCCTTTAATCCTTCTATCAATTACTTTTAATCTTTGACTATCAAGATAAAATAACTTCTTCTCAGCCACTCTAGCATGGCTACTCATTATTTAATTAAAGTTTCTCCTCAGCTTCCTCCATTCCACATTAAGTATGTTTTCTTCTTATATAAAATTCTCCCAACCTTCTAACATCCTTATAGTCCAACCACACCTTTGTTATAATTTAGTGACCAAAATGGTAGATAATGCAGCAACTCTGACCTAACTACAGTTTTATGTGCTCTAACAAAACCTGTGCATTCTTATATTATTTGCCTCAACTAATGAAGTATTCTGTATGCCTTAATTACTTTATCATGGAATTACTACAGTACAAGGCTGAAAGGCAGCCTCTGTCATATCTCCATTGGCTATCTGCAAGCCCAACTCACACAAACTCATTCCCCTTCCTTTTTACCCCATCTCTGTAAAGATTTTCTTCTCACATAATTCTCTTTTGAAAGCCCCAAATGAATTTGCCTTCACTAAACTTTTAGACAAGGCATTCAAATGACACTGTACAAAAAACAGGTTTACAACATGTTATCATGGAATCTTCTGCAAATCAACTTAAAATCAACAATCTCTGGCTCTCAATCCCTCTGCCAAAAAAAAGTTTCTCCCTACCAATTTTGCAGATTCCACATTATTTTGAACACTCCAAATATCTGTGCAATCTTCAAGAACACCTCCGCCTTTTCCAATGGATCCATGCAATTGAAGTTACTCATCCCTGGAATATTCTCATGACTCTTTTCTGCACTTGTCTAGCTGATCTATCTACCTTCCCTGTTATCAGGAAGGCAAATGGGTTGTTGCAATTACTTGTAAAGGGAATTAAATACAAGAGTAGCAAAATTTTACTGCAGCTGAATTGGGCCTTGGTGAGACCACATTTAGAGTACTATGTACAATCTTGTTCTCCTTATTTGAAAAAGGATACAAGTGTATTAGGAACAGTTCAGAGTAGATTCACGCCGAGGATAAAGGGCTTATCTGATGAGGAAAGGGTGAACAATTTGCACCTTTAACCTTTGGAGCTCAGAAGAACAAAAGGTAATCATTATCAGACAAAATCCTCAGAGGACTGGCCAGACTAGATGCAGAATGGGCATTTTTCCACGTGAGAAATTAAAACAAACAAGAGAATCAAAAGTTTAAAATGGAGAGGTTTTCCAATGAAGACAAATGTGAGGAGAATAAGACATAGGAGCAGAAGTAAGCTGTTCAGTCCAGAGTCCCCTTCGTCATTCAATAAAATCAGGGCTGAGCTGATAATTCTCAACTGCACTGTTCTGCCTTTCTTCCATAACTCTTGATTTCCTTACTGATTAAAAATCTGTAAATCTCTACCTTGAATATTCTTAATGACCCAGCCTTGACAGCTCTCTGCAGTAAAGAATCCCAAAAACTCACTACCTTGAGAGGAAATTCTCATCTGTGTTAAATAGACAACCCCGTACTCCAAGATTATACCCTTTGGTCCTAGACTCTCTGAAAAGGGAAACGTCTTCACATTTACCACGTTAGTACCTTATTGAACATCTTTTAGAAGTCCATATTACATCTATGAATTCTCCTTCAACTACCTCCTCAAAGAATTCTAATAAGGCATGACTTCCCCTTCACGAAGCCCTGCTGATTCTGCTTAATTACATTATGTATTTCTAAACATTCTGTTATTTGATCCTTGATAGTAGATTAACATTTCCCCATATTTCCATGCTGTATGACTTTATGACAGATGTGAAGCTAACAGACCAATAGTTACCTGTTTTTGTCTTGGTCTCTTTTTCAACAGGGACGTTACTTTGACTGTTTTTCAATCCACTAGGACATTGCCAGGACATCGCAAGTTCACCAACAAGTCACATGTCATCCCAAGGTGGAGATACATAGCCATTTCCATCTTAGTCATTCTCTATCTACAGTACTATATGACAGTACCTTCATCAGATCAACTGCAGTGTTTAAAGATGCCAACCCATCACCAAAATTTCGAGGGCTATTAGCAAAGTGCAATAAATGCCATAATAATATGCTTAGCTAACTTCTCATACAAGACGTTAAAAACAAAACTTGGCAAAGAAAATTCTTTTGCACAGGTTGTCAGCCTTGAAGTGGTTAAAAGAGCACAGTGGTTATACTGTTGTCCATACCTTTGATTCCAACTGCTGGAGCTCCTGCAGCTACAGCTGCCAAGGCATATTCAATCTGGACGAGTTTGCCCGAAGGACTGCAAGACAAAACACAAAACAGCATGGGTGAAACTGTAATTAAGAGCACTTCTGATGGATAATTTTCCTTCCTAGACTTTCCGATTCAATTCCGTAAGTATTATACAGAAACACCAAAAACAGATTCAGTTTATCTTCAGCACCACAAGTGCAAAATGAACAAATGTAACCACTTTGGATTTTGCAGTGCAAACCTCTTATACCATAGCCAGAATAAATATCACCAACAAAGTCAATACCACTGCCGAGGTATACATAAAGGCAAACATTCAGCATTCTTTCAGCAATGTCTGTCACTGTTTAACCCTCATAGGGTTGCAGCATTATGGACAGCAACAATCTTTCAAAGTCACCTCAGTATCAATTTTCTGGGTAAACTGAGCGAAAATCCATAGTTTATTGAACTTCAGGTAGCATAGCCATGCCTTATCACATCCCCACCTAAAATTCAATTTCAGATCCAGTACTGAATAGTGACCAGGATGCATTCCATCTGATTACCCACCACTCTAATCCGTAAATGCTGAAACCAATCATCAAAAGACTACTACTAAACTGGCTGAGATTATAGCTGGAATCAGATCATACACCTTTTCAGATCATTAAATAAACTTTATTGAGTGGCTTCTGGACCATTAAGCCACATAGTGCTGTAATATTAAATCATACTTTTCACTGCAATAAAGAATAAAAAGAGAAAAAATAATTAAGATGAATAATCTAAAATAGATTCATTGGTAACAAATGAATTGCCAATAATCATGAAAATTCAACAAAAAAATGAATGAACAAAGACTTGCATTTCTACAGCACCTTTAACAAATTTTGAACATCTTAGAGTATATTATAGCCAAATTAAGTACCCGTGAAGTATATTAATTGTAGTAATGCAGGAAACAGCCAATTTCCATACAATAGCCCACGATCAACAATGTTTCAGATGTCTCAGTGATGTTAGTCAGAACACAGGCAAAGGAACATTAAAATGCAAAATGAATCTTGCATCAGTTGGAGAAATGTAACATTGCACCTAACTGACTTACTGCTGAAATATGACTAGACTCCATAAATGTTTCTGTAACTGTGCTTATTTTGTTTTTCCAGTAACAAAATTCATCTTTCCGAGTTGTAGACTTAGTCTTACTACTTTGGAAAGCACCTTTCAGTTTACTGAAACAGTGATTTCAGGTTGAAAGCAAAGTGGGGCAATAGGGAAAAAAATTCAAATATTTACTAAAACAATTCCACAGTAGCAGTTAGTTCTGATGTTTGAGTTCATATAGAAAAGCCTAGCTTTTATACTAAAATTGATCAAGTTTCTTTTTGAATTCAGGTAGTAATAACAACTTTCATATGAACTGTCATACTTAGACTGAGGCATGGAACGTCTAACTTTTACACATTAGGTTTAAGTTATGGGGAAAGGGGAGGTTTTTTTAAACAAAACTTTGTAGCATTTTATAAACACACACACACACACAAATTAAAATGGATCAGTGCAACTGATACCACATTATAATCTTATATTCCATATACTTTAAATTTAGTACTTTATCACAATGAAAATTAGAAGTAAAAAATGCCCATGTCCGTGTAGGTTTCCTCTGGATGCTCCAGTTTCCTCCCACAGTTCAAAGATGTGCAGGCTAGGTGGATTAGCCATGGGAAATGCAGGGTTACAGGAATTGTGGGGGTGGAATGCTCTTCAGAGGGTAGGCACGGACTCGATGAGCCGAATGGCCTGCTTCTACACTGTAGGGATTCTATGATTCTATGCAAACACACAGAATCAGTTTCACTGATAATGATAAAACCTGAGCCCCTTCACCTTCTCTCAACATAATCCCAGGCAGTTCAAGTTTTACCCTCCAGCAGCCACAAGCACGAGCATGAAGCAACTGTCAGGATACCCTTCTCGCAGGGTTTGAGATCCACCTCCAAAGCAAAATGAAATAACACAGCACCTTGAGGCACTACAATATTAACCACTTCTGTTCACATAACAAAGCTTCTCCAAGCCCTTCACATGGGCATTTGCAAATCATTAGGCTCAAGATTCTGGCAACGATAAGAAAGTCAGCCAAGATCCCAAGAACACAATGTGAACTGAGAGATAGGACTATAGGAGAGTATAACAGTATGTGAGGAGAAACAATGCAAAAATATGTGGGAGATAAGAGAATCTAAAATTATTTTAATAATAAGTGTGATATAAAATGCTACTCTCATAATAACAGACTGTCCTAAAAAGCCTCATAAGTGTCCTTTCGGAAAGGAAAGCCACCATGCAACTCAAGACATGCAACAATGTACTTGCCTCCTACTTATCTTCTGAAATATTTTAATTAAGCCACTCAGTTAGAGACAGCCACTGCAGAGAAATCAAACTATAAAATAGGACAAACTGCCTGGTATCAATCAAGGCACAAGGACAAAGTCATATTCTACCTCTTCAACCTTGTAAAGTCTACCACACTAACATCTGGGAACATTGTGTTAAAATTGCAACAGTTGTCCCATGTTCAGTGAATCCTAACCTATAGCCATTGGGCCAGGGCCCTTCATCATCATCCCAAGATACTCCCTGGCAGGTTAGAACCACCAGGGAGTGGTAAACTGTCAGAAGGAAGAGGACCTGAGAACTCCTGATATTGATTTTGGACTTCCACAAGTCCCACAGCATCAGATTGAATACAGGTAAGAAAAGTTCCTGATCACTCCTGCCAGTTGCTGCTCCCGGCCCAGGTCGAGACATCCCTACTATTGTGGGCCCTGCCACCTACCAGCCTTCTTCAACTAATGAATTAGTACTCCTCCATATTGATGGCCACTTGAAAGAAGCACTGAGGCTAAACAGACATTTAATATACTAGAGGTAGGGCACTTCAATACCCAGCACCTAGCGTGACATGGCTGTGGCACTACTAACCAAACCTCAATGAACAAATCTACCAGATTGGGTTTACAAGTGATGATAGAACCAAGGTGGAAAAATCTTCTTGGCCTCATCTTCACCGATCCAGCACTTGCAAATGGGTGTGGCCGTGCCAGTATTTATAGGAATGACAACCAGTTGCTGGTAAAGACAAAGTTCTGTACTCAAATTAAGGATATCCTCCACCCAATCGTGTGACACGAATATGATGCTAAATGGGATGGATTCAAACAAAGCAAAGAGCTCAAAACTGGACATCTGAGGCTCAGCAGGCCATCAGAATTGCATTCAACCACATAATCCAATATACCCCCAATCATAGCGTTACTGTCAAACTAGTGGATCAACCCTCATTTAATGAGGAGTGTAGAACAGGTCAGAAACAGCACCAGGCTTACAGAATAATGATAGTGTTAACCAGATGAAGCTACATCACAAGACTACATGCATGTCAAATAGTGGAGACAGCATGCGATTTACAGTGAATTGTGATCCCACAAACAACACATCAGATCGAAGCTCTGCTGTCTTGGCACATCCAGTCACAAATGGTGGTGAACAATTAAAGCTCAACTAACCAAAGGGAAGAATCGACATCCTTAATGATGAGGAAATACAACACATTAGTCCAATACTCAAGACATTTGCAACCATTTCCAGCCGGAGGCGCTAAGCGGATGATCTATCTTGTCCTCTTCCTCCAGAGAGGCCTAGTTGCACACGATAGTCTTTAACCAATTTTATTCACATTACATGATATTAAGAAATAACTGAAGATATCAGATACTGCAAAGGCTCTGGGTCCTAATGACATTCCAGTAATACTGAAGACTGGCTTTCCAGAACTAGCTATTCCTGAGACATTTTGATACAACTGCAACACTGTCATCCACGTGATAACACTGAAAATTACCCAGTGATGACAAATCCACAAAAAAAGGCAAAAAAAATTCAACTAATCAAAGCAATAGAAGGAACGTTGACAGCACTTAGTCAGCTTAGTTCAGGTTCAGCCAGACTCCACTCAGCTCCTGATCTCATTACTGATTTAGTTTGAACATGGATAAAAGAAAACCAAAGAAAAAGTGAGACTGACTATCCTTGACGTCAAGACAGCATTTAATCAAGTTTGACATCAATTGAGTCTGAGAAAAATTGAATTAACTGCAAATCAGGTTGGAATCATACCTAGCACAAAGGAAGATTATTATGGTTGTTGGAGGTCAATTAGCTCAGTTCCAAGACAGTGTCTGAGAAGTTGGTCATTTGGTGCTCCGCACTCAACCATCTTTAATTGTTTAATCAATGACCTCCCCTTCTTCAAAATACCAGAATAGAATGTTTGCTGATGACTGCTGTGTTCAGTACTATTTGCAACTCGTGAGCTACCGATGCATTCTAGCTCCATATGCAGCAAGGCCTGGACAACATTCATATTTGTAGCATACAAGTTCAGGCAAAGATCATCCCCAACAAAAGACAGAATTTAACACAAACACAGAATTCATAGTTCCGAAGAAAAGTCATACTGGGTTTTAAACACTAACTGTTTCTCTCTCCACTGAAACTGCCAGACTGCTAAGTTTCTCCAGCATACTGTTTGTTTCAGGGGAGCTGTAGTTTCAGTAAACTGTAATAGATCAAAGGAAAAACTATAATTGGATAATTGAAAGATCCCATGTCCAGCATGCTGTACTTTCTGCAATTAAATTAAAACTATGTTCTAGGTAAACCTTCTTTCCTCACTCAACCATCCACAACCTAATTCAGGAGATCTAACCATTGCCTGTTAACATTCAACAGCATTACCATTTTTGAATTCCCCACAATATCTAAGCGATTACAAATGACCAAATACTGTGGCTATAAGTGCAGGTCAGGGGCTGGGAATGCTGCAGCGAGTAACTCACTTGCTGACTCCCCAAAACCTGTCCATTCTGACTCAAGTCAGGAGTTTGATGAATTACTCCTCAATTGCCTGTATGAGTGTGTGGGATATCACAATTATCCATTTGCAGTTTTTCCTCATAATTATTACAGGCAATTGATGTCACGGATGCCCGCCGGCACGACTCTTTTTTTTGAACTCTTGACTAGAGACACAGATAACCACTGGATCAAGGTGATGAAACTTCTCCTGTTTTCGTTATGCAGGTACAGCAAAACGTTTCAGCATTATCTTCCCTTTCCTCATCAACATTAATCAAGGATTAGACCTGCCGTGCTGTTAACGAACCAACAGGACCAACAAACCGAGTGCTTCCAGCACATCTCTAGATCGAAAGCGAAACCGAATGTGGTTCGCTCCTGGGCCTGGGGCCATCATCCTCCTCCTCCAACCTTTTGGGTGGAAAAAAAAACTCGAACCCACAGAGGTAATGGTCCAGGAAGATGCAGCAGCGGCCCAAGGGCCTCCTACTCAGAGCGGCCAGGGAACAGCAACCGTGACTGTGCAAATTGCAGCGCCTCCAGCTAGCCTCAAACTTGAAAATATAGAGAGTCAAATAAGAGCAGCTATCGCCAGAAAGAGGGGATTCCTTCGCCCACCGAGTGAGTATGGAACGACAGTATGGTTGCTCAGTTTACCTGAACGTGGTGAGGGAGAAGCTGTACCCCCGGTCCGCCATCTTTTGGCCGCTCACACTTTGGAATGCTGGGAACGGAAGGGTTACAGGAACCTACGTCACATCTGCTAACCTTTCGTGGAAGATGGACTGAAAACTACAATAACCGGCATACATGGTACCAGAGTCCTGGCTCCAATTGCACGCGAGGGATTCTGGGAACTATAGTTTTTTTAAAAAAACGGACGCCGTCGGATGCGTGGTTTCGACGGCGGTCACGTGTGCATGCTGCAGCCTATCCACCGGCGCTATGATTGACGCGCTTGCGCACTGTGTTGAACTTTTGCAGCTTTCGGTCATATCGAGTTCTGGTCTCCCGCTCGTCAATGGCGTTGATAGAGCGGCTGCGACTGTCCTGGTCGACTCTTGAATGCGCTTTGCTGCAGGCTTTCGGACTTCAACGTCGTTTGGGTGAGAGTCTGTGGCTTTAGGGAGATATATCAGGGAGCGAATAGAATCTGTTCATCCTGGTATCCATCCTGCCCACTACCTGCCCTTTTTTTGAAATTCACTCATGGGACTTGGGTGTCACTGTCTGGCCAGCATTTGTTGCCCTTGATCTAGGCTGATTTGGCCTAGTAAGCCACTGATTTGTATCAGGGCAGTTGAGTGTCAGCTCATTGCTGTGAGTCTGAAGTCAAATGCAGGCTGCACCAGATGAGGATGGTAGATTTCCTTCCCTGAAGGGCTATGGTGAGCCAGATGGATTTTTCTGACAGTTGACAATGGTTTTGTGGTCACAGTATATTCATAATTCCAGGTACAGTGGTGGAATCAAACTTTGTGTCTCCAGAACATTGTATAATACCACTAGGCCATCGCCTGTATCCAAGTATCCATTCAGGAATCCGGTCATCTACCTACCTATCTGTCTAGTAATCCTGCCATCCTCATGCCTATCCATCTAGGAATACTGCCATTTACCTACCTGCACATTGACTTTAGTTATTTATATGTCTAGGGATGGTGAGAATCTAGATCGCACTACCTGGGAGGGAGTAGAGGCAGGAAACCTCTCCACTTTTAAAGCGTATGTGGATGAGCACTTGAAATATGACATTCAAGGCAGTGGGCCATATGCTGGAAAATGGGATCAGTGCGGATGGACTGGTTGAAAGGACCTCTTCTGTGTTGTAAGACTATACCTGTGAATCAATCAATTTATACAACTGTTGATCAATTGGCTGTGGTATTAGAGCCATGTACAGCCTTTGCTATATTTTGCAATGCTGTGTTTATGTATTTTTGATTTGAATGACTTTGTCTATTCCCTGCAAATGGCAGATGAGTGATACTTGAAGAGTTTGATATTTTGTTCAGGTATGGATTTGGAAGCTTAAAGGAGGTAATGGCCTGCTGGTATTGTTGCTGGACTCGTAAACCAGTGACCCAGGTAATTTTCTGGGAACAAGATTTGAATCCCACCACATCAGATGTTAGAATTTCAACTTGGTAAACAACCTAGCAAGCCACTCTATATCCATCACTACAAAGTCTCAACAAAGAACAAAGAAAATTACAGTACAGGAACAGGCCTTCCAAGCCTGCGCCGATCCAGATCCTCTACTAAACCTGTCGCCTATTTTCCAAGGATCTGTATCCCTCTGCTCCCTGCCCATACATGTATCTGTCCAGATGCATCTTAAATGATGCTATCGTGCCTGCCTCTACCACCTCCGCTGGCAACGCGTTCCAGGCACCCACCACCCTCTGCGTAAAGAACTTTCCACGCATATCTCCCTTAAACTTTTCCCCTCTCATCTTGAAATCGTGACCCTTAGTAATTGAGTCCCCCACTCTGGGGAAAAAGCATCTTGCTATGCGTCCTGTCTATACCTCTCATGATTTTGTAGACCTGAATCAGGTCCTCCCTCAACCTCCGCCTTTCTAATGTAAATAATCCTAATCTACTCAACCTCTCTTCATAGCTAGTGCCCTCCATACCAGGCAACATCCTGGTGAACCTCCTCTGCACCCTCTCCAAATCATCCACATCCTTTTGGTAATGTGGCGACCGGAACTGTACGCAGTATTCCAAATGTGGTTGAACGTGTCCTATACAACTGTAACATGACCTGCCAACTCTTGTAATCAATACCTCGTCCGATGAATGAAAGCATGCCATATGCCTTCTTGACCACTCTATCGACCTGCGTTGCCACCTTCAGGGTACAATGGACCTGAACACCCAGATCTCTCTGTGTATCAGTTTTCCCCAGGGCTTTTCCATTTACCGTATCGTTCGCTCTTGAATCGGATCTTCCAAAATGCATCACCTCGCATTTGCCTGGATTGAACTCCATCTGCCATTTCTCCGCCCAACTCTCCAATCTATCTATACTCTGCTGTATTCTCCGACAGTCCCCATCACTGTCTGCTACTCCACCAATCTTGGGGTCATCTGCAAACTTACTAATCAGACCATCTATACCTTCCTCCAGATCATTTATGTATATCACAAACAACAGTGGTCCCAACACGGATCCCTGTGGAACACTACTGGTCACAGTTCTCCATTTTGAGAAACTCCCTTCCACTACAACTCTCTGTCTCCTGTTGCCCAGCCAGTTTTCTATCCATCGAGCTAGTACACCCTGGACCCCATGCGACTTCACTTTCTTCATCAGCCAACCATGGGGAACCTTATCAAATGCCTTGGTGAAGTCCATGTATATGACATCTACCGCCCTTCCCTCATCTATCCACTTTGTCACTTCCTCAAAGAATTCTATCAAGTTGGTACGACATGACCTTCCCTGCACAAAACTATGCTGCCTATCACTAACAAGCCCATTTTCTTCCAAATGTAAATAGATCCTATCCCTCAGTATCTTCTCCAGCAGCTTCCCCACCATTGATGTCAGGCTCACCGGTCTATAATTACCTGGATTATCCTTGCTACCCTTCTTGAACAAGGGGACAACCTTAGCAATTCTCCAGACCTCCGCGACCTTGCCCGTGCTCAAGGATGCTGCAAAGATATCTGTTAAGGCCCCAGCAATTTCCCCTCTCGCTCCCCTCAGTAAACTGGGATAGATCCCATCCGCACCTGGGGACTTGTCCACCCTAATGCCTTTTAGAATACCCAACACTCCTCACCCCACACCCCCCATGCCGATTTGACCTAGAGTAATCAAACATCTATCCCTAACCTCAACATCCATCATGTCCCTCTCCTCGCTGAATGCCAACGCAAAGTACTCATTAAGAATCTCACTCATTTTCTCTGACTCCTCGCATAACTTCCCTCCTTTGTCCTTGAGTTGGCTAACCCTTTCTCTATTTACCCTCTTGCTTCTTATGTATGAATAAAAGGTTTTGGGATTTTCCTTAACCCTGTTTGCTAAAGATATTTCATGACCCCTTTTCGCCCTCTTAATTCCTCGTTTCAGATTGGTCCTACTTTCCTGATATTCTTCCGAAGCTTCATCTGTTTTCAGTCGCCTAGACGTTACGTATGCTTCCTTTTTCCTCTTTGCTAGTATCACAATTTCACCTGTCATCCATGGTTCCCTAATCTTGCCCTTTCTATCCTTCATTTTCGCAGGGACATGTCTGTCCTGCACTCAAATCAACCTGTCTTTAAAAGCCTCCCACATATCAAATGTGGATTTACCCTCAAACAGCTGCTCCCAATCCACATTCCCCAGCTCCTGCCAAATTTTGCTATAGTTGGCCTTCCCCCACTTTAGCACTCTCCCTTTAGGACCACTCTCGTCTTTGTCCATGAGTATTCTAAAACTTACGGAATTGTGATCACTATTCCCAAAGTAATCCCCTACTGAAACTTCAACCACCTGGCCGGGCTCATTCCCCAACACCAGGTCCAGTATGGCCCCTTCCCGAGTTGGACTATTTACATACTGCTCTATAAAACCCTCCTGGATGCGCCTTACAAATTCTGCTCCATCTAAACCCCTAACACTAAGTGAATCCCAGTCAATGTTGGGAAAATTAAAATCTCCCATCACCACCACCCTGTTGCTCCTATATCATTCCATAATCTGTCTACATATTTGTACCTCTATCTCACAATCGCTGATGGGCGGCCTGTAGTACAGCCCCAACATTGTTACCGCACCCTTCCTATTTCGGAGCTCTGCTCATATTGCCTCACTGCTCGAGTCCTTCATAGTGCCCTCCTTCAGCACAGCTGTGATATCCTCTTTGACCAGTAATGCAACTCCTCCACCCCTTTACCTCCCTCTCTATCCCGCCTGAAGCATCTATATCCTGGGATATTTAGTTGCCAATATTTGCCCTTCCCTCAACCAAGTCTCAGTGATAGCAATAACATCATAGTCCCAGGGACCAATCCAAGCCCTAAGTTCATCTGCCTTACCTACTACACTTCTCGCATTAAAACAAAATGCACCTCAGACCACCTGTCCCTTTGCGTTCATCATCTGCTCTCTGGCTACTCTTCCCCGTAGTCACACTGACTTCATTATCTAGTTCCTTACAGGCTTTAGTTACTACCTCCGTACTGTCCACTAACCTCCTCATTTGGTTCCCATCCCCCTGCCACATTAGTTTAAACCCTCCCCAACAGCGTTAGCAAAAGCACCCCCGAGGACAGTGGTTCCAGTCCTGCCCAGGTATAGACCATCCAATTTGTAATAGTCCCACCTTCCACAGAACTGGTCCCAATGTCCCAAAAATATGAACCCCTCCCTCCTGCACCATCTCTCAAGCCACTCATTTATCCTGCCTATTCTTTCATTTCTACTCTGACTAGCACGTGGCACTGGTAGCAATCCTGAGATTACTACCTCTGAGGTCTTACTTTTTAACTTGGCTCCTAACTCCCTAAATTCTGCTTGTAGGACCTCATCCCAGTTACTACCTATATCATTGCTGCCTATATGCACCACGACAGCTGGCTGTTCACCCTCCCCCTTCAGAATGTCCTGCAGTCGATCTGAGACATCCCTGACCCGTGCATCTGGGAGGCAACATACCATTCGGGAGTCTCGTTTTCGACCTCAGAACCGCCTATCTACTCCCCTTACAATCGAATCCCCCATGACTATCGCCCTTCCACTCTTTTTCCCGCCCTTCTGTACAGCAGAGCCAGCCACGGTGCCATGAACCTGGCTACTGCTGCCTTCCCCTGGTGAGCCATCTCCCCCAACAGTATCCAAAACGGTATACCTGTTTTGGAGGGAGATGACCACAGGGGACACCTGCACTGCCTTTCTGCCTTTTGGTCACCCATCCCCTTTCTCCCTCAGCAATCCTAATCTGCGGTATGACCAATTTGCTAAACGTGCTATCCACAATTTCCTCAGCATCGCGGATGCTCCAAAGTGAGTCCATCTGCAGCTCCAGAGCCATCATGTGGTCTAACAAGAGCTGCAGCTGGACACACTTCCTGCACTTGTAGGATACAGGGACATTAGCCGCGTCCC